CTACTTACTCTCTAATACGGAACGGAGAAGCTGAAAGCGGGGATAAAAAATCAACGGTGTGTATGGACACTCTTGCCACATACAGTAAGAGGCCATACATGCGTCTCCCACCTACAGCATACCTTGATGAGAAGTTCATCACCATGCCAAAACGTAGGAAGATATTTGATTCCCAGTGGACTCAGAGGTGTCCTCATCCTGAGCAGGCCTCGGTTATTACAGCTCTGCAGAGGCAACGATGTGCCAGCTGTTTCGCTACTTTCCCCAGTGCCGAGGAGCTGCAGAGTCATCTCCAGCTGCAGAAGTGCTCCAACCCTTTTGGATTCGACTCCGATGATGAGGGTGAGTGTGAAGAGTTTATTATGAAAATGTTCAAAAATATCACTGGACCAAATACAAGACAATGATGTCACACTTAAATTTCCAGAACTAAATATTATTTTGTATTCTGGTCAGAAATGATGCAAGCACAGAAGTCAAGTTTGTTTTTTTCTGTTTCAGGCAACAGCTGAATGTGTCTGCTTACGTCAAAGCGGACCGAGATATTGGCTGCATAATAAGATGACACGTGGGTCTGCATGGAGTCTCTGAATGGACTGTTCCTCAAATAATTTCTCTCTTAATGACCTGTTCGTTATTTTGGGCAAAGACTCATGCGTCAGAAGAAGAGACAATAAATGAAAGGGTTACCTGGCATTTGCTGTAGCATGTGTCTGTAATGCAAGGTCTGGGAGCAACCAGAAGACTTCAAATAGCCTATCAGTAAAAAGACTACTGAACTGAATCCCAGTCAGACTGTTATTGGATCAGCTAGTACTGAAGTGCCTGCTCTGGAACTGCCATGCTGCTTCCAGCTGCTTCACCTGGTATGGCGATTAAGCATTGTGGCTTAAAGACTGGAGTCTCAAAGCTGTGAAAAAAAAAAAAAAAACTTACAAAGCTGTTCCTGCTATCGGAGACACATTTATTCCATATAAGTAAGCCATAAAATTACATTGTTTGCTTTTTGCACTCTTCTCATAAGATTTATCAGTTATTTTTCTCTGCTTAATCTCTCGATGTGATAGAGGTTGTACAATGAATGAAGCAGGTAAGAGTCATGCTATTTTAACATTCTAATATTTCGAACTTTGTAGACTGAGTCTAAATTTTGAAAGCTGTAATGTTGCTGTATTAGTCTTTTCTTTTTGGAAAGTTTTTAAGCATAATTGTATTTCTTGTATAAAATTCCCCTTGAGTAGGTCTGTGCTGCCTGCTCTGATCATGAGTAGCCAGTAGGGGTCAGTGTGCACCAGTCTTCAGCAGGTGAATTCCTCTGTAAAGAGCTGCTCTGCTGCATTTATTGCTGCACAAACTCAACAAATGTCTTCACTTCAGGTCACATCCATCAAGCAGAATTTCTTTACCAGTCACAACATGTGCCAGTATCTCACTAATATTTAGCTGGATTCTGTCACTGATCATGTTATGTTTATGCTTTAAGTGGAGCATTTCATATTTTCTCATTTAAACGGATTTTTCATTTTCTTCATTGAGCTATCAAAGGCCACAGAATCATTACGATTTCCATTTTAGGGTAAATGTTATCTTTTCGGATTCCTTCACAAAAACAAACGGGGCAAGTCACAAATGTCCCCAGTTGCAAGTGTTGCTGGGAGGCCATAGCAGTCTTTAATGGGCCTCAGCAGGCTATATTTATTTTTTATTTTCTATCCTTTGTAAATATTTGAAGAGTTTCAGTGGGTTATTATATAAGGGGTGTTGAAGCTGGGTTTATATTTTCTTCTTGAAGAAATAATAAAGCTTATTTCAAATGGCATCTTTTCTATTGAGCTTGCCACAGTATCGGAGAAGTGAGTGTTTTATTCCACAGGAAATAAAATGCATTAGTGAAATGGATAAGAGAGTAATGTTTGGCGCTGGCAGTTTTACATGCCAACATGAAAAATCTTAAACAGGTCTGGTTTTCAAAATACATCTAAAAAAGAAGCTTCCTGCCCTTAATTGAAGTAGAAGCAGAGAAACGGCTGCCAATCAAGAGCACAGTCACCCTCCACTCAGAGGTTTATTTTGCCTTTTCTTGCTGTATTTGGAATGTTTGATTTTCACTGTGTGGAGATTGAAGATCTCTGAAATCTGACACAAACCTGATGAGAATATTTATCGGCCAGACAACAGAACAAAAGTCAAGTAAATGAACAAAACCCGTGTTTCTTTGTCTTTGGTCAGTGAAAAAAGGAACGGCAGCGGTCACTGTGAATGTACTGTACATATGCATCTTCATTCAATTCCATGATTCTCAATTATGTCCGAAAACGTGCTTGTTAATGATTGTTCTGATTTGAAAAAGAGCCAAACCCACAGCTGCACTCAGAAGACCTGGATTTCCTCCAGCTAGCCTCCAGCCTCAGATACTCTGCCTGAAACTCTCTGGACATTTCAAGGTAATTTTCTGGCAACATCTAAATAATAGCATACCGTATTAATGTATGAAATTAGTTCATTTAATGCCTGCTGCTGTCAGTAGAGCAGCCAAAGTAAACAACCCTGCTGAGTCTGTCAGTTTCTTTATACAACACAGTTGTACAAAATTAAATTTGTTTTATGTAGCTGAGGCTTTGTGTTTGATGTTAGCAAGTACTGTTCCCCATTAGTCATTATAATCATGTACTATAATTGGCTAATTATGCTGACAAGCAGTGAGGCAGACAGAGGGGCCAGACAGAAAGGCGATCTCTTTGTTTTGCATCTTAGTCAGTATTGTTTATTGTAGAAGTTGCAGACAGATGGAGGCAGCTGAAGAGGAGGGAGAAGGAATGAGAGACCACATGAGTCAAGTTCCTATGCACAGGTGTGTGCTGAGGGGAGCAGGTTCTTTTTACTGAAACATGAGCAATGTCACATGCATTTCACCTTCTAGCTGCTGGAGAGTGAACATGCAGTGGGCTTTTTAAAGGAGCAGTGACACATTTTGAACTTGTATTAGTGTGTGTTGGCGGGCATGCAGAGGTATTAAAGTCCACAGTGATACATTATTATTACTAAAAACCACAAATTTTAGTATGCTCCATTGAAATATACTCATGGTACCTGGCATCAGACCAGGGAGGTAAAAGTTACAGGAAATCTAACAGTTAAATTATGTAACTTTTCCAGAGGAAAAAGTAACAAATTGATCTTTTTATAAAAGCAAAGTTTCAATTGTAGTAATTAAAATACATCACCGTATCACTGCTCCCTCAAATACAGTATATTCAGAGGTTTAGCTGCTGCAGTCAACTAGGTAAACGATACATACCTTGCATTACTGAGGTACTTAGCAGACTTTGACTCTTCTCCACTTGTGTTACTGTGATAGCAACTTAGCATTTTAATTACTTAAATGCTAAACAGTTGTTTAGCACTGTATCCCATAGGTTAACAAATTTTACGTATTGTCACTTTAATGACAAAAATTAAAAATGTTAAAAAAAAAAAGAAAATGTAAACATTTCACTGAATCTGATTATTGGCTATAGAAAAAAAGAATATTTGAGTTAATGACCTCAGTATTTGTATAATCCTGTTTTTGTCGATGGGAATGTAGCATTATTAACATACTTGAAATGTAAATATATTCTTTACCAGTTGTCACCACCAGTAATGCCTCAAAAATGTCTTAGAATTCAGCACAGCAAAACGAACACAAACATGTCAGTCTGACAAGGCTTTTAATCAGTTCTTCACTACTTTAAATATTGAATCATAGCATCATAAAATAGTTTCTCTCTACATCCATATGCTACAAACACTATCATTTCTACACTCCAATGAATCTACATCTTAACTCTAACTGTATTTTTGAAACTGAAAATCCAAAATTTTTAAAGTTCCGGTGTATAAACGGTCTGCTAAAATGAAGCGTTTGCAGTGCAGGCAATACGGACAATAACTACATAATTCACTTTTTTTATAATAATTAAAACTCCTGTAGTAAAAAAGGCATGTAAATGGTTTCAGTCCAAAACATTTTGTTATGATAGTGATTTAAATACAGTATTTTAAAACCACTCATTCCTCTATCTGTATTTTAAATATGACAAAGATTTAAATATTTACTAATGACATTACTTAGAATTTGTAAAGTTAAATTATAAGTAGGACTTTAACCAAGTATTACCATCCATTGTGATTCAATTCAGCCAAATATGAGAGAAAATTTCAAAGAGCAGCACTGTAGCAGAGGCAAGTAGAAACTAGAGGATGTAGTGTTTTGGGAATATTTAAACTTAGCATTCAATTAATCAGGGTCCGAATGAAACCTCTGCTCTGCTGAGGAAAGCTACACCAACCAAGACTATTATGTAAGAAACGTTTTTGTTATTAGCCTAAAAAAAAAACTGCAGTACTCCATTTTTTTTAAGTGTAGACACAATCTTCACTATAATTAAAATCTGGTGTTGGAAATAGCCTGCGGTGCTCTGAATGGACAACCAAAAGATGGTGTCACCATTTCACCTGTACTACAAGATGGAATATAAGGCCCCAGCAATATCACTTTACATGCTTTCTGCAAGCTAAATCCTTCAACCTCTGAAATATCTCATGACTCAGGGCTGTCACCTTAGTGTGTTGTTTAGTTATTTAGTCTTGAAAAAAGCATGGACTCCGGTCTGTTATCTTATTCCACTTTCCATTTTACACAGGCATGAGCAGTGCCTCTAGCAGGTTTTCTTGTTCAAACACTTTGCAACAGGGATGAGCGCTGGCTCAGTCTCATTGATCCATCCCACCTACGCGGTCTTTCCTTTAGGTGGTCTTCATGTGTGACTGGTTGTTTCCAATCAGGATCATGTTATTAGTGTTGGGAAGAAGGCCAACACATGGCCACAGTCGGACAGAGTCTGAGGGTGTCATGTGTCCTTCCTCATTTCCTCTCCTTTTACAGTGACTGGATTTGCATACACGTGTGTGTTATGGGTGTTTCATTGGAAAGCACTCCCACCCTCCTCTGTCGTCTCGAGCTTTTTAGGAAGACTGTCGGAGCACTGACAGCATTAGTAATACTCCTCCAAGTGTTGTTTGTAGTCTGCTGTAATCCAGTACATGTAAAAATGTAATTACAGCTTCCTGCACTCTGTTCAAGAGGCACTTCCACAGGTTTGGCCCATTGTTTTCAGCTAAAAAGTTTCTAGCCTTATAGGACAATAAATAGTGGCATCTTCTAGTGGCATCACCTCTGTCTTCCTGTGATTGGTTAGTTCCACTCAGGCCTCATGTAGCTGGGGATGCACTGACAGACTTGGTGGCTGTAGTAAAACCCAGCTGCGCACACACGCCTGGGCTTTCTGCAAGGCAACCTGTAACAACTAGACGCAAAGAGGAGGGAGAAAAAGGGAAAATGGAAAGTGGTAGGTGAAGTAGAAAAAAGATAAAAATAAAAGAAGAGAATGTGAGTGGAGAGACAGGAAAAGAAAGTAGCAAAAGGAGGAAAATGTTTGAGTGAATGGTGAGGTTGAGAGGAGCAACAGAGGAGAAATAAATAGAAGATAAAAGGAACATTATTCTCTTAGCAGACATACTGTTGATTATTCAGTTCTCCACATCCATTCTGGATAAATCTTGGTCCAAGTTCTGTTTGTGCCTGCATCAAAAGATTCTGTGTGAGAGAAAGACAAAGTATTTCTCCAGAGACAAGGTCTAAGGCCAAATTCTGGGAACTCTCCTCTTCAAAATCACAGTAGGTGTATGGCCTTCTGTGTATCACCTGCTGTGACCAGATGTGGAAGAGCTGGATTGGGTTGCACCAGCTATTCATATAAATCCATATAAGTTTGCATAATGTCATCCTAAATTCTCTGCACCTACTAACCCAGCTAGAAATGTATTAAAGGTTGCTCTTGATCTCATCAAGACGTCTTATCTAAATAAGGCTTAACTAACTATAGCATTTCAAGCCTGTAGCATAACCACCACATTTTTAACTTAGCTGCATTTACATAGGGCTAACAGTTATTACTCTGTTTTCTTTATAAGTACATTCATGGAGAAATATGTGTTTTTAGAGTATTAAAATGAGTGACGAAGTAGTAGTATCTAATTATTCACAGCTAGCTCGCATTATTTGCTGATTTTATGAACAGACATAACGTTACAGTTGCTTCTAAAAGTATTCAGACCTCTTCACTTTTTTGCATACTTTACTGTGTTTTGTCATCATTGCTATTTTGCCAATCTATAGTCAATAATCAGTTTTATCCATTTAAAATTAAATCTACCACACAATAAAGTGTACAAGAAGTGGAAGCATCTGGATATTTTATGAAGTATCTCTGTCCTTGAAATTGTTACTCCTAGTTTGAGTAAAGATCCTATTTATATCAGGCTTCTTTAGCTGAAATGTTTTTGAAACTCTGTCATCAAAGGGCATTTGTGTGTCATCATGTGTAAAGCCACAATGACAGATCACTCATATCAAAGCTAATGGCTGCACAAATGTTTATTTTGTGCCTGTCACTTCTTATGTCTCTGAGCCTGCCAGCCTGTCTGATGGCTGCTCTACTCACTGTCATTAATTTAACCCGGTCTCTGTCTGTCTCTTGCATGCTGGCTGTGGGAACAGCAATGCACATGCGGGGTATTACGCAAAAACTCGCACACAGAGCTGAGACTATGGTTAAATGCTTAGGATGCCCCGTGTGCATAAAAGATTGTATGGAATTGTGAACCCAAAATAATAAAGTTTTTCTTTTTGTGATGTTGGAATGTATGACATGTCCATCAAGGGCCTGCCTGCTTTCTCCCCCTCTATGTACTCACCATAATCATTGCTGTGCAAGAGCTCAGGGCTTTGGCCCTTTAGTCAATGTTATATCACCTCCATGGCCACTAACTTATTTTATTCTCTCAAACTCTTTATGAGGAGTTGAATGGATAACATAATCATTGATTTTATGTATTGCAGTGAGAATGTAATCATAGTGTTCATATTATGGACATCATGTCTAGAACTGTGAGTTTACATCATGTGATGGATATTTTCTTGTATGCAGCTGTGGAAATACAAAAAGAGGAATGAGCAACTTCAAAGAATTGTTGCTATGCAGTTTTGGAAACCAGAATTCGATGCCATCTTAGAAATAGTCAGCCAGTTATACTGTAATATACAAGTATAACTGAGTGGAGGTGGGTGTTCTCGGTCATTTAGAGGCAATAACAGAATTAATTACTAAATATTTTGACACTTTGACACTTGCATTCTTGACTGATTGTGGTTTGTGTTACAAGTGCACACAGTGCAACAATAAATTCCAGCTGCTATAATTGAAACGTATAATTAATAAAGTTTACAATGAAGTATTTGATTAGAAGAAGCAAAATAATCACATTTATTTTTTGACTTAGAATAGAGGTTCTTAAAGGTGGCAGAGACTCAAAGTGTGGTGTCTCGGGATAACTTCATGCCAAAAGTGAGACATTCTATCCCTCTCCACAGGAAGGTCAGAGGGCAGAGCTGAGAAATTCAGTGTTTTGCTACTGGACACCTAACAAGGGTTGGCTCTAGAATTGAGACCAGGCCAAGCACAGACCCCTGGCTGCCTACCTGCAGGTGCTGAAGTTGAACCTCTTGCCCTGCCGTAGACATGACTGTGGAGACTCTCTGCACTGACACAGGCAGGTGTCAGGGTTGAGGGGCTGATTTCCGGGGCAGTCTGCAGCACACACACAGCCACACAGGTCTTCATCCCACCGCTGGCCCGAGGGGCACCACTTCCCCTCACCTTGACCTTCACACTGACATTCACCTGAGGGAAGATGAACATAAACAGGGAGAGAAACAAAAACACAGGTAATTACATGAATTAAAGCCAAACTTGATCAGGTATTTGACACGACTGATAGCATGGTTGGGCTAAATATTTGATCATCATGTTTATACTTGTTAGATATCTGCACAAGCTTCCTGTCTTCCTTCTATTTTGTTTGATCCTTTTGTCTTGCTCAGCTGGTCTCAGACTGACAACCTTTACTTAGGAATCTGGTGTAGGCCAGAGGTAGCTTTAGAAAAGTTTCAAACACTAAATGATGAATGATTGACGGGCATGTAAACCCTTCATACAGGTGTTGTGGTCCAGTTTCCAGCCTGGGTCGCAGCTGTCCTCAGTGAGTCCATTTCGACAGGCACACTCACAGGTTGACTCTTGCAGAACCTTGTTGGGCCCACAGAGAGCCAGCAGACCTGAGTCCAGTGCCTCTGGAAGTCACACGGAGAAGAAGGGGGGGAAGGTATTTAGTAGATTTTACAGCTTTGTTTTGACTTTATTTTGTTCATTTAGTTTTTTTTAGTCATATTAGCATTGTGGCTTTTGTAGATGACTGTCTTGTCAATAGGGCAAGCAGCTACAGCATCAGTGCTTCAAGTGTCAAAGAGGTTGGCATTATGTTTTTTAGATCCTTGTTTAAGCAGAGTTCCCAGGAAAGCTCCGAAATGAGTTTGTATTTCTAATTGTTTAGATTCTCCCTGTTTTCAATCTATTCTTTAAAACAAGTGGTATACGCAGTTTATTTTTAGAAAAATAAAAAGTATCTGGAGATGATACACTAGGTGTACGTGATTCTACAAGTAAAACACCACAAAGATAATTTCACTTCTCATGTTACAGTTAAATAAACATTCATCATATTTGCTGCCCAGGCATGATCATCATTTGGTTCTGGTAGTGGATGTTTTGTGAAAAAAAAGTCTAATGAAATCTGGGCCACATCCCAGAAGCTGCTCAAAGTGCAGACACATTTTTGGATGACACTGCATTCTGGTTCAGAGCCTTAAGAAAAAAAAAGCACGTCTTTTCAGTACAAAGCCCCTCATGGGTGAACTGTCTAGCTTCTGGAGTCTGCTCATATGGCAGGGCACTCACACTGCCTAGGGTTGAGGTTGTCACTCCCATTAAACCCTGCAGCAGGGTCTTTCCATTTCCAACTGTGAAATCACCTGGTGTTTGTTTCTCTTGTGTCAGATGTTCATGAATCCACAGTGTGTCTGACTGCAGTGTTTTACACATGGCATAAATATTTTTGTGTAATGAAACATGATTTTGCATCTTCTTGTTTGACTTCCTGTCTCACCCCTTTGTTGAGGATGTATGTAATGTTACTGACTGATTATTTAGCATAATTTACCTGTCTCTCTCTCAGAGTAGTTTATGGCATCTGTAGAGACACACATGCAGTTCACTGGATCCCATAATGACCCCGAAGCACAGGGAACTTCAGGAGGGGAGCACCTACACACACACACACACACATATATTATAAACAACAACTAATAAATGCTTGTAGATGCACACACGTGTCTCTTTGCTCTCACTCACAGGTGATCCTTTGTGGCTCGTCTTATGATGGAGTGAAGTGGCCTTTTGGAGAAACATTCGCATGAAGTGTGGTTGATGAATGTTACCATGATGACGGAGCGATCCATCCTAGGCGGGGACAGTTCCATCAGCTGACAGGAAGAAGGGTAAAAGTCAGAGGTGTGTACAAAACTGTGCATAAGAAACCAGTAATTTTAGTCATTTCCTTGTCTTTTTTTTCCTGCTGCTGTCATTACAGGATTACTAGTTAGGAGTGTTTCAGCTGATGTGTAGAAGTTGTTGCAAGATTGTGCAACTGTACATGACATTGCACTAACTTGATGGCTGTGTTCAGCCAAAGGGTGTCCCACTGCAGAAGGGTGGGTTGTCATAGAGTGAGCTTATTACATAACTGGAAAGATTGGGTCCTGCATTTTGACATGTAAGAGCAGAAAATACCAGCACACTCCTGTAATGGAGCAGAGTGTTAAAAGAGCTGCATCACTTACTGTCTTGTTGACAAGTGTGTGACTTGTGTTTGTGCAGTAAAAGGCCTCGTTGGTACAGCATCCACCACACCTGTGCAGCGCCACACAGCGAGGGAGGTAGAATTGACTGGTGGATTCTGGGTATTCTTTGGTGACCTCAACACACACCTCTCTAGGCTGACAGGAGGTGCGCTGGATCTCCTCTAGGATGACTGAAAACATGACTGATTAGTACCTGGGTTCTGTTTGTTGAGACTGCATCTGAATGTAAGAAAGGGTCTTAATTATCTGTTATTTTGAGATCATTTTAACATTTCCGATCTTCTTTACCTGTTACTTTAAACATGATACTTCAAGCACAATTTCTCAGTCTTTGATTTTGGAGCATTTTGGCACTTTGCTGTAACATTTTAAAATACTGCGGACTGACCTGATGAAGTTATCTTTAAAAATTGTAAAGGTTTAAAAAGATCAGGAGGTATGACAGTGATCTGGTAGTGTATATGGTTTCATAAATCTGATTGTTTTCTTTATTTAAAAAGAAATATCTCAAACCTTTTCAGTATGGGCTTGATTCTTTTGAGGCTTGCTCCATAGAGCTAACCTAAATGTTGTCTCCAATACCATCTGTCTACTTTTCATCTAAATCAACAGTTTGGAACTCAGTTTTTCAGAAGCGTCTCGTGGTTACCTCCTAAAGTCCCGTCGACTTTGTAAAGAGCCTCCTCCCTCAGCTGACCCCACAGATCCTCATCCTTGGAGTGGACAAAAGGGTTTGCTGAAGAGGTGGAAACAGAGGGGGAAGAGGAGGCATGCCACGATTTCTTCCTCAGGCAGTGCTGAAGCAAACTGTATTCAGGGTATAGAAATTGTAATAGCTGATCCACACTCGTTACTGTCTTCAAACTGGACCAGTCATCTGACAACACTGGAGCCTGGAAGACAGTGCACAAATGTGACTTTAATTACATACAATTTTCTCATAGTACACTTGCACTGCTTTGTATTGATAGATAGCACCTCCAAGATGGGAAGATATCCTGCTTTTGGTTATATAATATAATTATAATATAAATAACTAAAAAAAACATACTTTTATAATTTGAAGTGTAAGAATCAAGAGAGGTTTGTTTGGAGTTGTTTTTGGATGGAAACTAGTTGCTGCAGAATTTAAGGCAGCAAGTTTGCTGGTTCTACCTGGGTAAAATAAATAACTAAAAAAACATATTTTTTTAATTTGAAGTGTAAGAATCAAGAGAGGTTTGTTTGGAGTTGTTTTTGGATGGAAACTAGTTGCTGCAGAATTTAAGGCAGCAAGTTTGCTGGTTCTACCTGGGTAAACAGTGAATACCTCAGCTACCAATGTGTTGTAACATGTTGCTGTTGGCTACTGTTAGTAATTATGGGTTTGTGTGTCCTCTCCTCACCCCCACACACACACACAGTGTTGCATTGACAAGGAAGCTGCAGCGGCCCTTCGTCTCTCTGTTCTCAGTCTTATTTGTCTTTCTTGTTGGTCTATTTTGTACAAGTTAGTCTGCACAACAAAAAAAACTTCATCCAAAGCAACTGATAAAATTTGAAACTACCTGTGTTGCTGCTGCAGTGCCATTGAGCAAGATGTTTACCTCTGGATTTAAATTTTCATATATTGTATTTTAAAAATATTTTTACATCCTATTGGTTGCTTTATCGGTAGTATTTTGTTTGGTAAACATCAATGTGCCCTCAATGACAGATTTAGCCTCTAAATTAAGTCTTTAAATGTAGCATTAGTCAATTGTGTAAATGGCAGAGTGGAGGTTATCAACTCAGCCAACACACACATTGGTATGTTTATTACACAATGAAAAATTTATGTAATAGACTAGGAAACTCTGCTTCCTGGAAACCATAAACCATTTTTTTTTTGCTTGCATGATGGATGACAGAGTAGAGATACAGTAGATGAAAGGTTAATTATGTAACAGACTGGTTAATAGAGGCAGCTCTGTCTTATGTGGGAACTAAACGTCAACTCAGAGTTGGCCATTTGAGTGTCACCCATTCGTTCTTCCTTCATGGGTTGTTTGGTTTCCCAGGCTCAGGAGGAGCAGACTGGCACAGCTGGTAACAGAAACCTGATCTGTGTGGCGTTATCAGCCTCCCCATTTATCTCTTTCTCTCTCACTCTCATTTTTCCGCCCCCATGTTTTGTTTCTTTCCAACTACCTCATCTGTCTTAACACATTTTGACCTCCCCTTTCTGCTTGTTTCTCAGGTGTCTTTATTTTTTTATATTTCTCTTCTTAAGCTCACCTGTGATGTCAAATATTGCATTTTGTATTCATTCCCCAAATAAGAATTATACTTAAAAAATAAATGACTACAGCCATGGTAGTAGCTGTGTGAGGCTGTATAGTAGTGCTTTGAATGGAATGCTAACACCAGCATGCTCACAGTGATGAAGCTAACATACTGATGGTAACCATGCTCACATCTTAGTTTTGTGTGTGAGCACCCTAACAATTGCTATAACACCAAACCCAAACCACAGTTTCTCTCTTATTGAAGCAAGCCAGTCTCTACCAGTAACCAGTATTACTCTGCTATATTGGAGAATCTCTACATAATTTGGATGGACAGCTGTAGCTATTCACTGGAGGTTGGATTCTTTCTTTCTCTCATTTCCTGCCCAGATTTCTTCTTTTTCTTCCTCTGGCTCTGTTGTGTTGTTAAGTGATCTCCCGTCATTGCTGTAGGACTATGAGGTTATGATGAACCAGTCATTCGTCCCGTGCACTGGGTTGTGTCCATCATTAGATACTGCTGGCACACAGACACATGCTTCTGTTACTCCGTTTGTCTTCCCAGATAATCATCTCCTGTCTGAAGCTGTTTTTATGAATACACACATAATTTTGTTTAAATTTATCTTTTTAAAAAGTTGATAAATGGCCCAAAATTATATGTTTGGAATTTATTCATTCAGTTCCAAGAGGATTGTATTACTTAAGATCTTTTCCAGTGTATTTCAATAGTGTTGAATGAGAACTGAAACTAGATTGTGGTAGTAAACTGATGCCACTATCGGTAAATGACAGAAATACCACCATGACTTCCTGCTATCTGAGATTCCTAACAAATTGGCAGCTTTAACTTAACCACAGACTGACTTCCACGGAAGAACTTGTGTTAGAATTCAGCAGAGCTTGAAACTGAAGGCAAATTTAAATTTGATGCTCTTATAGGTTTGAATAAGGAAATATATTTTAATCTCTTTCTAAAATAATCATAATTATCCTTATTGATAGGGTCACATTATTTTCACTGATGACACGTGCAGTGTTCTTGTGAATTCCCTTTTGTTCTTGTTTTGATATTGATCCTTGATCCCATTGTGATAGTTATTTCACAGTGTTTGCAGTACGTGTGGCATATTGGCTAAAAAAATGACCATGTATGAATCTGGATTTGCTGTTTCTACCCAGGTGAAGACCCAGTGAGGTCAAAACTGATTTGTGTTTTAACTGAACTGCCTGACTAAATTAAGGCTTGTAATAATCTTGCTCCTCGGTCTGTCTAGGAGTGCCTGAAGAACATTTTCTTGTCTTCACACTAAAAATTACAGATGGATTCATATATGCCTTAAAACCACTGGACACCATTTACAGCAGTGCCAGTACTCAAGACAGGTATGGCACAGGTATGACACCCAGCTTCAGCCTGTATTTTCATTTACCAGACCATGCTACTTAAGTGGCCACTCAATATTTTAGTTAATAAGAGGAAGATGGTGTGTAGGATCACAGTTTTGTCCAAACCAACCAGAGGTGTTTGGTTTGGTTGAAATCTGGTGATCATTGCATATAAATTGACAAGCTGTAGAAGTTAATAAAAGTCTAAAAGCAGTGAAAGGAGATCTCCAGGCCAAGCCTACATTTTTATAAATGACAGAGATTTAATGTCTCACCTCGGTGCCCATGTCTCCAGTTTCGTAATAGTCTGTATAGTCCTGTCCAGAGCACAAATAGCTGAGATTAAGCATCCATAGGAGCAAAGCTGGTATCCACATAGTGAGGAGATGTAGCAGAAAGGAGAGGAGGTGTCAGGACAGAGAAGCAGGAAGTTAGTGATTTTAAAGTAGGATGTAAAGTGACAGAAAGTAAGGAGAGGAAGGTGGAGGAGTCTGAGGTGAAGAGGAGGGAAAGGAGGAGCGGGAAGGTATCATAGACTCAGCGGGTTTCTCTTTGCTCCTCTCTTCATTCTATCCTGGGACGAAGTTCCGGCACAGGTTGTTTGAATTTGGGAAATCAGCTGAACAAATCATGATGAGGAAATCTCCTCTTCAAACACAGCTCTGTTTTCATTGTGCTGTCTCTTCAGAGGAAGTCTTCCTTCCTTTCTTGCGTGTCCATTCTTGCTCTTAATTTTATAACTGCTTTTAAATCACTTTGTTTCAGAGTTTTATCTTCACCAGTTTTCACCTTGTCTTTTTTGACCTTCAACTGGAATAATTCCTTAAACTCAGTCTTTTATTTGCTGAGTCTCCCATTTATCTCCCTTTTCTCTTCAGCCTTGGTCGTCCTCACTGTCGTCTCCTCGCCCTTCACATTTGTGCACCTCCTTGCTTTCTTTATCTGTATTTTCCCTTGTCTTCACACAACAGCTGTGCTCTTCCCTCCCACTGCCTCCTTATCTGTCTCCTGTTTCTTCCTCAGAAACCTTCAGGGCAAAGCTGTCTCTCACTACACTGTTTTTTCTTCGCTGCGTTCTAAATCTGTCAACCTTTCTGTCAGGCTGTCTGAGCCTTTGAAAAGCATCATAAAGAGAGAGCTTATTCCAAAGCCTGCTCCCTAAAGGATATGCATATATATTGTTTAAATAAAAAAGAAAAGAAGGAGGTTTAAAAATTCCAGTTTTTGGTATTGTGTCCTTATCCAAAACAGAATGAATGTGTGTCCTGCTCAAAGATGTCCTGCTGGAGTGAATGAGGAAAAAATACAAGAATGGAAGGATTGTATCTTGTGGGCGGAGTGAAGGATCTGAGAGCTGCTGGTTAAAGCGCCTTCAGTGTAGAATCACAAATGGCAGCCAGTGCCTTGGCACTGACACACTTTAACACACGCCATTGTGCTCGTTTTTCTGCTTTAAATTCACTAGAGAGGTTATTTTTGCTGACATCTTTATAATGTAAAAAAAAAAGATTATCTCTTAAAAACAGGTCAGTTGTAAAATCTGATTCTCCTCCCACTTTTCCCTTTCTTGCACATTTATCTTGACGTGTTTGTCTTTTCATCTTTGTGACTCCATGTAATGCGAGCAGCTGCCACCTTTTAAAATGTAGTATCCATTGGTAATGAAAGCGAGCTGCCAAACTGCAGCTCTAAGTGCCTTTTAATGGGCTGCTAATACCTTTGCTGTCTGTCTCTTTCTGCTTTATGTCAGGTGCCCCCAATTTCTGCTGGGAAAAACTAATTCAATGTCAAGACTAGTCTACAGAGTGAAAGGGGCAGAGACTGATCTCACACATGTAGCTGTAAACACCTTTTACTCTAACACTTCATCAAGCTGCAGCGTTGTCTTCTTCCCTCCCCCTCTCGTTCTTTCTTTGTCTGGTTTCTCTGTTCAAGGTTCTCAAAAAGACAAACTTTACACATCTCCTTAACTGTACTACCCCAAGGCTGTGGGCATGTGTGTCTGGAGGAGGTGAGGGTAAGAAAAGGTGAACAGCAGACAGAGCTTACATCTTTCACTAAATTATCTCATCTTTCTTTTTCCTCTCCCAGGACAAAGCAGTTACTGACAACTATAAAATAAATTGTGGACGGACGGACAGACATATGGGAAGTGAAGAAGAGACAGGAGGCCAATGAGGCAGAGGAGGGAGAAAGAGGCGTGTCTAGGAAATGATCGAATGAGAAAACATCCGACTTTTGGACCAGTCACTGGCAGCCTTTTCAAGGATTAAACACACGCACACAGTGGCAAGTGTCTGCATGTAGTGTGCTTTAAGTGTTGAAATCTGTACAACCAGATTCCACATTCCAGTCATGTCTCCATTTCATCATGTGAGCTTAGAGTGTAGAATTATAGATAATAGAGAGGGAAGCTTATTAGTATGCAGCGCCGGGCTTTATACTGTTCAACAGACTAGAACACAATACAGGAAATGTTTGATTTAGTGTTTTTGTATCTTTATGTGCTAGAAAAGAAATCCTTTAAAATGGCTTCTTATAATTCAGTTACGCAGTGCCTCTTAAATCTAAACTGAAGGTACACATGAAGTATTTGACACTTTTCAAATATTCTATCTTTAAAAGCATATTGTAGGTTCAAACCTGAAAAAACATTTTAGCAAGCTCAGACACAAACAGCCAATGCAGTTCAAGGCAAAAAATATTTAAAATTGAATCATTTCCTAAAAGAATAAAACAAACAAAAAGTTGTTCTGTTGTAAACTGCAATAGCTACTTTACCATCACAAGAATCACTATTTGGTTTGCCTTGTTTTCTGTGATGGTGAACCAGCTCAAAATTAAAGAGGACATTAGAGTAACCAAACCATGGAAAACTTTGTGTACAATTATCAGCTGAATTATTCTAAATTGCTGACAGGGAAACTATGTAGTTGCACAAATTAAAGCTCTATTTGAACAACCTGCCAACATCAAAATCAAAGCTCCTCCCTGATTTCAAACTGAATTTGGTTTGCTGCAACAGAAACAAACCTTGGCATTTACAGTAAAAATAGAAACTTATTTTTTCTTAGCACCCAACTCAATCACACCAACACATAAATTGATTATTCATGTCAATCCTTCCAAAAATACAAATATTTAAGAGGCTAATTTAACTTCGTAGTTTTGCCTGAAACCATAACCACAGCTAATTTACCTTAGTGTTGTATATAGTAGAGAAAAATGCAACTAAATTAAAATAAATGCTTTTGAAATTATAGCAAATGATTTTTCAGTCCTAAGAAACCAGGAGGAGAAATATGAGCCTAAAATGTTAAGTCGTATCTGCATATCTCACAGGTATTAAATGTCTATTCAAAAGATGAGGGTTTTAAGAAGCTGCAGATTCCTTTGTTTAGTGTCACAACATACTGGCAGAACAAATGTCCTTATCGCAGGTACTACTCACAACACAGTGGATTTAGTTAACACCAGACAGACAGTTAACATAATGATGATTCAGTTTCTGTCTTTTCCCAGCTGTCATAGTTCTGCACCATCTGTTTATGAAATTCTGTTCCTCTGTCTCGACCTCCTGTGTTCAGAAGTATATAGAGCACCCTTTGCCCAAGACACATCCACACAGCAGAGTCATAATGTCCTACATGTGGAAAACTGTTTCCTTTTTTTTTATTGTCTGCTACAGTTTAAAACAATAATGAGCTGATACTGAGCTGATTTTGACTGGACCTGAGGCTCTTCACTGGGTTCCTGTGTCTTGGTCTGAATGCTCTCAGGGTTTAGTCTTGGTTTGGATAGCATGCTATAAATGGTCATGGCCTGAGGGCAGAAGAACATGTTGGAAAGTGTTACAAATGTATAGCAGTGGTTAAATCAGTGATATTTAATGATGAATACAAGAAGCAAAAGCATGAGGCTGCTGAGAATAACAATATGATGCAAGCACCATAGTGTCTACTCTTCTGAGTTCGTTTTAATCTCCAGTACCTGTTTCAGAACATGTCAGTTTATCATCGGGCATATACTGTGACATCTTAGGAGAGGGAAAGAAACGCATCAATTTTTAAATGTTTGTTTTTAGTTGTAAATAACCGAGAAACCTCCCGTATCATTGCAATCTTTGCACAGTGATTTACAACAGTGGTTGAACGTTTCATCAGATCATGTCTGCTCGTTACATATGAAACTACAACCACAGTTAGCTTAGTATAGGCTGGAAGCAGGGAAAACAGTTAACCTCACTCTAAAGGTAACAAAATCTACCTCCCAGCACCTTCGCCGCTCCCTCATTAACACACTGTATTTCCTTGGTTTTAATCTATGCAAAATCCAAAGTGTAAAAACATGTTTTAAGAGCAATGGAGAGAGTGCAATGGAACAGAACTCTGAGCTGGACAGTAAATTTCCCAAAATGTCAGCTATTCCTTTGACCAAAACCATTCCAAACAGTGGCTGTGAACAACCTTTAGAGTATGTCTGAAAGTGTATTAGCAGGCAGACATCATCATACTTGTATGTCCATTCTGCTAACATCACCGCTATTGGAGGGCAGAAGCACAGTGTGGGACTCTTTGGTGAAGTTGGAGAAAGCAGAGATGTACTGTTCAGCAACACTCAGCAAGGCTGCAGCATTACCATTCTAACAAGAATATAGGTAAGCGGTACTCTGGTCAGGGTGAATGCTGGGCAGAGCGTTTCCAAAATAACACAAGGCTTATGATCATTTTTAATCCTTTACCTGTTCAGCCAGAGCCTCTGACAATAGACGAATTGCCTTGGATTTGGCTTCTGCTTTGGCTAGCACAGCTTGGGCTTCACCTAGAGACAACACAACATGTAAACAACAAAACAAAATGTTTGGCTTATAGTATAGTAGAGGCTTAAAATCAAATTTTTCAACATTCATCTTGATCCTGCTCCTACTCAGTCAGTAACAACATTTGAATTGTTTGAAGTCTGAGTTCTGTAATCCTTATGTTGTGTTGTAAAACAGTCTGCAGGCCAGTAATTAAACACTTTGTGGGTTTAGAGTAATGATGGCCTAAGACCTTCAATTACATATATGCTCACGTGATTCATGCATGGAAAACTCGAAGTTACAGTCTACTTAAGTCAAGACTAAATGCACAAACCAGCGGCTTTCCCTCTGAAGCAAGGACTTGAGCTTGTTTGCGACCCTCTGCGACATTGATGGCTGCTTCCCGTGTCTCCTTAGACTCTAGCACTGTGGCTCTCTTCCTACGTTCTGCCTCCACCTACACAGGAAGCAAACAAAGGATATCAAATATTTCTCATCCAGGGAAATAATATAATCCTAAAATGACCCGGTGATTGGGTGCAACAATTGTTACCTGTGAAGGTCAGGGTGGTGTGTGTGCGCGTTGTACCTGCATCTGCATTGATTCTTTAACACGTGGTGGAACTTGCATATTTTTGATTTCATAACACAGGCAGCAGATTCTCCACTCATCTGAGGCCTGGTTGATGTTGCATATTTTTGATTTCATAACACAGGGAGCAGATTCCCCACTCGTCTGAGGCCTGGTTGAGTGGACGATGTTGGAATTAAGAGACTCCCTTTCCTTGAAAGCAGCAGGTTTAAGGTATTTATCCTTAGCTTACTGTAATGGAATACACACCAAGCAGATGTTCCCTACCCTGAATACTTTATCCAGTGTGAGTTTGCCCAGTTCTGAATGCATTGTGGTTTGTGCAAGCTGAGTGACTGCATATTCTGGGTCCTCTACACCATAGCTAGCCTGGAAAGACACAATTAATTGATCTCCATGAGTAGAGTTCAAGAATAATCAAACTAACTGGTGCCATCTTCTGGCTTAAAAAAAAAGACAACTTAAAAAAAAAAAAAGCCAAACATTTAGAGATTCCAGCCTCCTCAATTGTGAAGATTTATTGCTTGTATTTGTTCTTTATCACAGTAAACTGAATATTTTTGCTTTTTTCCTAACGCAAGGCATCTGAACATGCCATTTTCAGCAGGGGGCATTCAAATGTTTTGTAGATAATTAAGCCAAAGCATCACCAAAGTTAACTGAAAATGAAAACTGTTAGTTGCATATGTAAATTATATTATTATGAATATTCCAGGAAGCAGTGACAAAGATTTGAAATTAATTTAAATAGACTGACTTTATTTTCCAGATTGCCTTAGACTCTATACTGGTTTTTATTGATCGTACCTTGGACAGTATGAGTCTGAAACAACTATTCAGTTAAATTCTGTATGGTCAAAAATGTCCTAAATTTAAGTTGGCCATCTTTGCAGAAATCCTGATTTGCCCACAAACTGCTAGCAGTGTAAAAACTGTCAGAGTTGGAATAGAAATATTAGTAGATTTGTTAACATTACTATGGTCACAGATTTACCATTTTTGTATTGTCATAGTTCTCCAGTTAATCTAAACCAATACTTTGTGTCAAATATGGCAGTAATATGGGCAAGTAGGGTAACATACTGAGTCTTAACTTTAAGGTAAAGCCAAAGATGCGTAGCTAACTGCATCTTGTCTTTGCTGTCTGAATGACAGCAAATATGCTAGTTCTCTGAGTATTTCAGCAGTTATAATTCTTAATAGCATATCTTAAAAGGATCTAAGATTCATAAATAAAGAACATCAATTTGCAGCATCACATTATCTGTGTACAGAGTAGACCAAGAAAATATCAATTCATTCAGCCATGAAGATGTTTAATTTATCTAATAATAATAAACATGATGTTGCAATGACTTTATCCCAAAATGCAACAGAATAAACTTACCTAGGGACACAGCTGACTGTTCAGGGATGTCAATAACAATCTGTTTGAGGCTTTGTACATAATGAATTTGGTCAATTGTGGGAATGAGAAAGTTTAGTCCCTATAAGAAAGACAAAAAATGTGTTGGTGGTCTATGTATCTGTGCCTTCACATAAATAAACTGAGGTCACAGAGAGAAGTTATCCTCCTTCACATGCTTAGTGAACCCTTTTTAAGAATTACTGGCTCTAAGATCCGATGAAAGCGACCCATCCTCTCGACCACCCAGGCTTCCTGCTGGGGCACAAACAGGACTACAGTGTTCAAAGGTAAACGGGAGGCCCATCATTGCTGGGCTGGAGTCACCCACAATGTGGGAGTTCTACATAGACAGCAAGACAGAATTGGAAAGGTATGTTGGTTACACATCAGTGGATCTGTCCCACACTACATTTGTTCGATGACAAAAGTTGCATGTTATTTTGTAGGTTCAGATTAATAATGCACAAAATAATGAACACGTAAATGAACATGTGTTATACCCTGGGTTAGGAGACAAAGCCTTATAGCTCCTCATGAGGAAATTACAAGCTATGGAAGTGGATATAAATTGCCTTACAATTGCTGCCCAAAAGACTCTTTAGTGATATATTTTCTGATCTGCAGGCTTCCTATCATTGGTTTTCAGCTGAATTGATCATCAACGTTATTATGCAACACTGCCCTCTACTGTTTGGGATGATTCTACTACAACTGGGTGTCTAAAATTGAGAATATCTTTGGTGTGTGATATTCAAAACACAAAATTCAAGCTATGGTTTATTCTTTTGTTCTGATATGTGAATACTGCCTCTCTGGAAACTGTCATATATTATTGTAACTAGGCTTGTACATGGATTTATACAACTTAAGCAGTTTTAGGACAGTAGTTTATATATTGATAAAGAGCACAGTGCATTTTAGTATTCTTCCTAACATTTTTTTATTGCTTGCTCCTGAAAAGTACACTAAGGTTATATGCTGGATCGGGATTCTGCTTACATAACTTTATGCTGACACTTGTTCATTTGTATAGATGCAGAAAGTATTCTTACTCAATAAATAAACCTCATTTAACCTTCACTTGTTTTTATAGATTTCCAAAATATTCTGCTGCACTTTAATTGTAATAGTTAGGCCCAAGGGAGGTAAGAGTGTTTTATTACCTTTCATATACAGTATTGTCATTTAGTAAGACTGGCAGTTTAATAACCATTTTCTAACTGTTTTGATTTGCAGGTCTACTTCATATAGACATGTGACAGCATCTCTTTCATGGTAAATCTACAGAGTCAAAATACACAACGAGAATAAATGCATAAATGTATAGTGCTGTGCTTAGAGCCCCTGAGTAGTTTTGCATTTGGTTTGACAGATTTGTTACATATTTGCATTAAAATAATTGCAGTGTTAAACAGATTTTCAGCATCAAATAATGAGAAAACAGCAGGTATTTTCATTTGTTAGAGCAGTTGTAAGAGCCCCCAGATTTTTAAAATTGAGATTATGCTGAATATAAAGATAATTTAGGTAATGATGATGCAGAATGCAAAATCAGTAGCTCTTCTGAGCAGTACAAATGCAAACATTAAATGTTAACTTTAGTTATAACATAAATTTATTATGAAATGCTGGTCAATTAGTTACCATGCACCAAATCTGTCTGTCTGTCTATCTAATTGATGACATGATTTCCTTTGTACATTTGTCATCAGTTATTAAACCAGCGTATATACAATATTAATTTATAAATACATAAAAAAATCACTTGTAAAAATGTAATGTCACAATATAAAAGTATGAAGCCCCATTACATTATCTCCACTTTTTTTGGGGGGGGGGTTCTTAGTAATCATGACAGTGAGATAACGACAATATTAACATGTTTTTACATTGTAGGCATATGTGGTCAAATTGAAATCGGACTGAGATTTTGCCAAAACCTTTAAGTCATAAATGATGAAAATTCAAATGCTGAATAATAATGACAGACTTAAGAGAGCAGCAAAGAAATCTGCTGGTGAATCTGTTAATTTAGAATGTGTACATCTGTTATACTGTATCACAGTCAACGGGTATTTTTATTTGAAAAATGTTGAAAAACATTAAGCTGTTTAACTTTCTTATGATTTCTGGGTCCTTATAAAATGCTGTGCACAGTGTTTCATTCAAGGTCAACAGATCAACATTTGCAGTGAAAAGTCTCATCAGCCCAGGTTAATGTGCTTCACTCAGCACTGAGGTGTATATTTATGAGAATAAACAGTTTGCAACAGGAGAATCTCTGTGCCTGAGGCCACTGTTGAGGGTCTGTGTGGTGCTGCAGCAGAACAGTCTGCTCAGAAGTGACAGTGTTTCTAAAACAGTGTAAAAATGACCATTGACTGATACTTCCAGTCCTGTCTACAGGATCTTGACCTCCGGGGAGTTATCCTGCAGTATTCTGAGTGTGATGATGAGTTTGATAGCTTTCCTAAACCAGGGGTAGAACATGGCATAAATCAGAGGGTTCAAGCAAGAGTTCAGTATCATAATCCAAGCCAAAATGGGATAATATGACAAGCTACTTGAGCTGTTCACACCTGAAAGAGCAGGATAGAAGAATGGGCAGTAACACATTAAATACACCACTATCAGAATCCCCAGAGTCCTGGCTGCCTTGGGTGGTGATTTTCTAGCAGGTGGAGCTGCTCTGGCCTTGGTAACAGCAGCCTGTGACTGAATTACACGCATCTGAGAAAGGGCAGCCACAAACACCCTGATATACAGCACAACCATGACAGTACAAGGCCCAATAAAGGTCATGAACATGTCGACAGTTCCTGAGATCTGGCTGATGACCACCACACACTCCCCATGGCAGGAGCTGAATCTGTCCGGCTGCACTAAGTGGTCTATTAGAAGTAACACATTGTAGGTAATTGAACAGGTCCAACAGAGACAGATACAGATTTTAACATTAGTCACAGTGACCTTAGAGGAGTAGATCAGTGGGTCACAGATAGTCAGATAACGGTCGATGGATATGAGCACCATGTGGCCCAAAGAGGTAGAAACCAGAGAGTAAAAGAGATAAGGTGAGACAGCACACATTATCCTCCCCAGCAGCCAGCATCTCTCAATGTAGCGCAAACCTTCAACAGGCATCACTAACAGCCCCAGTCCCATGTCGCAAACAGCCATAGACTGGAGCAGAGTGTTGGTTGGGGTGTGGAGCTGCCGGAAGTGGGAGATGGAAATGATGATGAGCAAATTGAGTGTCACAGTGAGCAGAGAGACAGATGCAACTAGTATGTAGAGTAGAAGAGTCTCAGATCGTGGTCGCAGCAGACGCCTGCAGGAGGAGTTGAGGTTGGGGAAGCAGAGCTCAGAGCCCCAAGTGTCATCCATCAGGGAGGAGAGGAGCAGGGCTGAGGTGGTGAACAGTTCATTTATATTCCTCTTACACCACCACCCCCTCTAACATCTCTTGGAAATGATGTAACTTTTGTCCCTTGTCATCATTGTTATCAACCTCATCAGCCCATTTGTTTTTTCATTGCCTTCATTACACTGGTTTACAATCTTATCTTATTGTTATTGATTTTGAGGTGCTGAATTCATTTATGACTTTTCAAAGAACTGATTGGCTAGCGAGTCAAGTTTTATGTTGATATGCAATAAACTGAGTACCAAGTAAAGATAATGAGACATTTTTAATGTCAAGAAAGAATATGACCTGATGTATACAACAAAGTGTTTGATGTTGTGAATTGAGGTATGAACATAATAAGCTCCTTGGTTAAAGAAAACTTGGTTAAAGACAATAACGGTTCAAGCTGCTTGTTTCAAAATCAAATAGTTACTGCCACCAACGGTGGGAGTTATGTTTTTGCTGGTGTTTGTTGGTTTGTTAATAGTATTGTTAACAGTCAAAAAGTAATGAATGAATATGTATGAAATTTATAGAGAGGTAGGGTTTGGGCTCTGGAATAGTTTAGATTTTGGTGCTGATCTGTATTATGACTTGGATACTGGAATATTCATTCATTCATTCATTTTCTACCGCTTAGTCCCTGAACGGGGTCACGGGGGGGCCGGAGCGGCCAGCAATCGGGCGAAGGCGGGGTACACCCTGGACAGGTTGCCAATCCATTGCAGGGCTAACACATAGACGAACAACCGCACACACACACACGCACTCCTATGGGCAATTTAGAGACACCAATCAACCTAAGCTGCATGTCTTTGGACTGTGGGAGGAAGCCGGAGTACCCGGAGAGAACCCACGCAAGCACGGGGAGAACATGCAAACTCCACACAGAAAGGTCCTGGGTGGGTACTGGAATATTTTTAAAGGTTATTCACCCATTTGAATGCTGCAAAGCCTTTTCAGTTGTATGTGAGCTCCTTTGTGGTCAAAGTGTGCGGCTGTGTTGCTGAGTGCTCTTATTACATTTGGATACAAAGCCCTGGGTTAGTGACAGCTGCCCATTCATTGTCAATGGAAACTGAGGGCTGTCATTCAGTACAACCTGGTGTGTGAGACAAGGCCTGAAGGTGTCCAGCAAGGTGACGGACTACAGTGACAGCTGGGCGAAAGCCTGATGGCAGAGATTTAGAGCCAGGCTCAAAGCTGTGATAAGTTATATCCGTATGACTGATATTGTGCCATTTTATTAAGTTTTGACCTTTTTCTATATAAGTAACCACTTAGTTTGAAAATATGTGGTCAGTCTACAAATAAAACTGAATTGAATGACTTTGAAGCTAATAAATATATCAGCATCATTCCAATGCCAGCAATAGGTTTTTATTGTCAAGCAATCATATATGAGGGTCAAACTATCACGGGAATATTGCTGTTATGGTATTATAGGAACCTGAGCTGCCCTTGGTGGAGGTATGCGCTCTCTGAGTGCTGTTTAGTTTTGTACTGAGATAATGTCAGAATATTGTGAGAAAAAGTTATATTCTGGAGTCAGGGAATTAACCCTATGACAAGACCATGAGCTCATGAATTATGATTAATATTGTGCACAGGACTTGAAAGTCATCAGTAGGCTCCTTAACAGACTTTAATGAAAATTACAACATATATTCTAAAATTTCAGAAAATAATTGTAACAGTAATTTGACACTAACATCAGAATATTCTGACTTTATTCTTGGAAGGGTCTGGGTTTGAACTTATTTAGTTCATTTATTTATTTAGTAGCATGGCACTAAATTACTGTCATAATTTTCATTGGGATTAGTCATCAGTCTTACCATGCAACACTTATTGATTCAGATGATGGTACTACAACTGAGTGTCTTAAAACTGCTAACATCAGTGATTTGTCATAGTCAAACATAAAATTCAACCATAGGCTATGGCTTGTTCTTTTATCATGAACTCTGAATATTGCCTCTCTGGAAACTTTCATTTACCCTTGTAATTATGTTTTAAAGGGCTGCATGGAATAAATCTGACCCTTGAATATAACTTTACCATAGATAGCTTCTTTAGGATAAAAGTGCTTTCAGATGACAAAGATAAACAAAATATTTTTTATTACTTACTAATAAGAACTTAATTGGAGGAAAAGTCAAAGCTGGATGATGATTCTGAGGTGGAGGCGACGGTGCGGTGGGCAGAGCAGTCGTCTCCCAACCAGAAGGTTGAAGGTTCAAATCTCGGTGCCTGCCGTCCACGTATCGAAGTGTTCTTGGGCAAGACACTGAATCCCCAAGTTGCCCCCGATGGTCAGAGCCATTGGTTGAGTTGACACCACAGATGGCTGCCTTGGTTCTCTACCGGAAACAAATTCCTTGTGTGTAACATACTTGGCCAATAAAGGTGATTATTCTTATCTAACTATCCTTATTCTGATTTCTGACACTTCTTCATAAGTACAAATGGATATACAGTACATCAATCATGTACTTACCCTCTTATTTAGTCTTTTTGGAGATTTCTATTGAAAACTTGGCTGTCTGCTGCACTTTAATTGTAATGGTTATGTCTAAGTGAGGGGAGTGTGTGTTTTAATTTCTTATTTCATATACAGTATTGCCATTTCATATGACAGTGTAGTAACACTTTTCTAACCATTATTTGTAGGTCTGCGTCACATGGACAGTGACTGCATCTGCCTTATGGGTAAGTCTATGGAGTAAAAATACACATTAAGAATAAATAAAAGTTCAGTGCTCTGCTTAGGTTGCTGGAATATTTTCAGAGTATTGTATTTGTTTTGATTGTTCTATTCAATGTCAGATTTAGCACAAAAATAATGATTTCAATGTTTAACAGATCTGCAGCATTAAAGAATGATTTTTATTTGTTAGAAACATAAAAGAGCACAGTTTTTTTAAACAATGGAGTGGATAAAAGCAAAACGTATAATAAACGACACAAAACCTTTCATGGAGATTATGCTGAATAGTACAAAGTTAATTTAGGTCATGAGAATAGAAAATACAAAATCATTTGCAGTTCCGTGCAGCAGAGAAGCAAACTGTCTTCATTTATGAAATGTAAATTTATCATGAACTACATCTACATCACTTACAATACAAATATTTTTAAAGTATTACTGAGATATGCATATGATTTTCTTTGTGCATGTTGTTTTTGGTCATTACATCATCTTGTACCACATACAGTATTAACAGTGTTAGGGCTAATTTCTTGGTGATCATAATGGTGAGGTAATGACAAATTCAACATGCTTTGACAACATAGGCAAATGTTCCTCCTTTTTTTTGATTTCTTGGTGTTTATAACAATCTGAGGACGTCAAAACTGAATGAGAATAGCTAAAAATTGGTCTTACTTAACATGAAGACATGTTTGCATTTATCTTAATATTTGCATGTATAATAATATGCATATAGACACAAATGCCCTGAACAGTGTTTCATTCAAGGTTATTAGATGTGTATTTGCAGCCCAGGTTAATGTGCTTCACTCAGCACTGAGGTTTGTATTTATGAGAATAACAGTTTACAACATAACTCAGTGACAGAATGAGAAACTCTGTGCCTGAGGCCACTGTCGAGGGTCTGTGTGGTGCTGTAACAGAACAGTCTGCTCAGAGGTGACACAGTGTTTCTAAAACAGTGTAAAATGACCATTGACTGATACTTAGCCTGTCTACAGGTACTTGTCCTCCCGGGAGTTATCCTGCAGTATTCTGAGTGTGATGATGAGTTTGATAGCTTTTCTAAACCAGGGGTAGAACATGGCATAAATCTGAGGGTTGAAACAAGAGCTTAATATTATGAGCCAACACAAGAATGGATAATAGGACAAGCTGTTACGGTAAACCGTGTGTTGAGTGGTTTTGGACCCAGTAATGATGCAGACTCGAACCCAGGATAGACAAGGAAAAACGTCTTTAATGCGTCGCAGAAAAAAAAACCCAAACAAACAAAACAGAGCTGGTCTTTTCCGCTGATCTCGGGGCAGCTGGGCACACTGGGTTGACTGGACCACTGTTTCCCGGGGTGTATGAAAGGCGTAGCTCGCTAAGTAAGAACAAAGAGTGAGAGTTTAAGAACACGCAGCAGGTGTGTATGGTACAGACTGTTTCTGGTAGTCACTCTGGGGACCTGAATAGCTGAGCGCGCC